CCGCACGGCCGGCCGGGGCGCCCCGCCGGGGACCCTCCCCGAAGGCCTCCTCGGAACTGGGAGCTCCAGGGCCTTCAGTTTACGGCTCTCAGGACTGTTACTTCGGACACAGGCCCGCGGGAGTGCGCCTGTTTTACGGGTGCGGGGACTTAGGGGACAGAGAGGTCCCGGGAGGGTCGTTGCCGCCCCCACCCCCTTCTTCCTCCTTCCCATCCTCTCCGTCAGTTCTGACCGAGGCAGAAGTGTGACAGGTGGAAGGCCCCGTCCCCGCTCTGCGCCTCGATTTTCCCGCCTCTCAAATGGGAAGGAAACCCGGAGCAGAGCCGCTGCAGAGGGCCAAGTATTGGTCCTCTCCGTGCCGCCTGGAGCGCAGCGTTAGCCCCGGGGCGCGCGCCCTGGTCCCAGAACCTCTTGGACCCCGAACTGGGGCCCTGGGGTGGCCCCACTTCTATGGCGATGGGCATGGCCTGGTCCGCGTCCTCCCTGGATCTCTTCGCTACCCGAGGTGTGAGGGGGAGGAGATTGGGCGGGACCCGGACTCCGATGAGGGGGCGGGGGCGGACCAGAGTGCGGGGCATCGGCGGACCCTCCGCCCCGCCCCCCGAAGGACTCTCCGGTGCTCTGCCTGCCCCGGGAGAAGGGGGCGGAAAGCAGTTTGGACTTGGACCTAGCACGGAGCCGCTCCATGGTGTTTCCGAAACTGGGTTTAACTGGAAAATGTGACCGAGCCCTGGCGCCTTGCTTCTCTCTGCCTCAGTTTCTCATCTTAACATCAAAAACTCTTCGGGGAGGGGGGTGGTGAGCAGATTCATAATGCACCCCTTCCAGGAGGCAGGGGCCAATAGGGTGCCTCCCACTGTCCAGATGGGAGCACCAGGAGAGCAAGGGCTGGGTGTCCACTTCGCCCCAGTGTTCCCACACAGCGTCGTATCTGCTGAATGAATGAATGAATGAATGAATGATGTGACTTTAGCCTCTAGTTTTTGTAAGATTTGGGCTCCTAGGGCTCTCCCTGCTTCCCCTTGCATCGTGTCTTCACTTGGCGACTGGGATCAGCTTATAAAAATGGAGGAAGCGGAGGGAGGAAGAAGGAGAAGGATTTACATTTAAAGGAGGATCAAGTCCGTGTGTTGCGGAGATGAGGGGCTGACAGACTAATTTCAGGTATTACTGCTGAGAGGCCCTCCCCCCCTCAGGGTCCTTCCTTGTGCCCTGTCCAGAGATAGCCAGCTCCCTCCTCCTTCACCCACAACACTCTTCTGATCCAGCTCAGAAGACCCTACCCCATTAGAAGACTATCACAATTTTAGAGACAAAGAAAATAGATGAGCAAAGCAATGAAATGAAATTGCCTTAATCCCATCACCAGCGACAACGGAGGCTAAAATATGCCCCACTTTACATACTGTCTTTTTAGTTTACTTTTCACTGTCAAACTTTCTGTTTGTTACTCTGTTTAGAACTTAGTCGCTGTATTTTCTGGTGCAGCCATTCCTGCTTCCCCAGGGCGGGGGGAGGGTAGTCCTAGAAAGGGACTCCATGGCACAAACTGTCCGATTTGTATCAGCGCCCCCACCTTGCCCTCTAGGTTACCAGGGCTCTGAGGGGGATTGCTTCTTCCCCCTTTCTCACCCAGTGGCTGGGTATTAGCTTTAAAGAGGCTTGTCCTGTCCCCCTGAGACTGTCCTCTTCCCAGGTAGGGTGACCCTTCTGGACCCAGAGCTCCCAGTGCTCCTCCCTGGGTTATGTCCCTTCCCCGGGCCCCTCTCTTACCCCACTGTCCTGGCATCACTGGGTGCTCCGCTGAGATTCCACCCATGTTGCTGCCATCAGGTGTGTGTGTAAATATATATATATATAATCTCCATTTGTCCAGTGAAGGAGCTGGGTCCTGAATTCCAGTCCCCTGCCCCCCCACTGATGTCCAACCTTCAGCTCCTCCCCACATCCATGGCCTCCTCTCTATCTCATCCTGGCTCAGTTCTCAGCCAGCAACCATAGAGGCCCACATCTACCGGGCTTACACCGGGCACTTACGCCCTCTCAATGTTAACACACAGCCTGGGGGCGGTGGTGGGGGCGGATCACATGCAGAGACAAACTACGGCTGGCTGACTGAGCCCTGGGATCTGGCCACTCAGCTGGCACTGCCCCTCAGGTCCCTGACCGTTTGCTGGGCAAGGGGATCTAGAAATGGAGCAGCCCAGCTGAAGAGTGACCCTTTTGCCCAGGCTGCCCTCCCTGAGCCCTGGGGTCTTTCTCCACAGCAAGGTACCAGAGCACCTGCCTCTTGTCTCCTCTGCCTGCCCCCGCCCCCCAAGCCTGTGTCACCAAAAATCGCCCATTGATCCAGGCTTAAAATAACCCCTGGCATCTGCAGCTAGCCCCACGGGGCGGGCAGAGGATCCGTGTCTCTGTGCCTGAAGGGCACCCGCCCCGCCCCCAGCTCTGAGTGCTGGCAGCTTGAGTGTGAGGGTGGCTACATGTGCTCCCGAACGTGAGCGAGAGTGCCCGTCCGGGGCCAGCCTGGCTATGAGGGCCTTCCTTCCACCACGGACATGCGCATGCATGTGTGTGTCCGTGTGAATGTGTGTGTGCACACACGTTCTTCCTTCGCTGTTGAGGCCTCTCCTGGAGCCCAGCTCTGCCCGTGCAAGGCTCAGGGTCCCGAGAGGTCATGGACATTAGGGAAAGGCCGGGATGGGCCTCAGTGTCCCCATTTTAGAGTGGGGGTCAGTGACCAGTCTGCCCCAGCCCTGGGCCCGGGAATTTGGGATTTCCTAGAGACAAACCCAAGACCCAGAGAGCAGAAATGACTTTCTGTAACTGGCACACAGCCAGGAAGGACCAGGGTCTGGCTTGGAACCTGCACTGTGAGTCCCAAACCTACTTCTGGCCAGTTTCATACAAAGCGAGAGCGCAGCTGGAGGACCCCGGCCCAGGGAAGTGTCCCTACACCCTGATAACACCCTTCACGCCTGACAATGCCTGGTGCGCCCTGACTCCTTCAGGAGCCCCTGGCCTTCCACAGGCTGTTCTCTGCTCTCGGAATGCCTTTCCAGCCCCTCCCATGGGTAGCTCCTACTTATCCTTCATTTTGGAGCCAGATTAAAGTGGGTTGGGGGCGCCTGGGTGGCTCAGTTGGTTAAGCGACTGCCTTCGGCTCAGGTCATGATCCTGGAGTCTTAGGATCGAGTCCCACATTGGGCTTCCTGCTCAGCGGGGAGTCTGCTTCTCCTTCTGACCCTCCCCCCTCTCATGTGCTCTCTCTCTCTTTCTCATTCTCTCTCTCAAATAAATAAAATCTTAAAAAAAAATAAATAAAGTGGGTTGGAATTCCTGCTCTAATAGGACAGTCGACCTTTCTAGGCCTGTTTTCTTTCAGCTAGCACCTCTTTGGCAGGGCTGCAGGGAGAAGCCAATGCCCGCCCCCCCCCCGGAGAGACACGCAGGTACATGCTGTCTGGTGGGAGCTCCCCCATGGCAGCGCTAGATGGGTGATCCCCACCATGGGTGCCATCCGTAAGCCTCAACAGTCACATTCCCAAGCCCATTTCGCTTCCATTTCTTCCATGATGGAGGGTTACCCAAAAAGCAGAGATTCTAGAGAACGATGGACTTCCTGCCAGCACAGATGCGTATACCAGTCCGGGGAGCGGGTCGGGAGGGGAGGGCCCGCAGCTCCTTTGTCTCTGAGAGGCAGCTCGTGACTCAGGCTCCAGCTGCCTGTGGGAGGGAGGGGGCGCCCAGGCTGAGGTCGCGAGGGAGCAGCATGGTGGCGGGAGTAGTGCTGGGAGCGGGGGCTTAGCTTCCAGTCCCAATTCCTCGGGCACCCTCTTCCCGGCGCTCCCCTCCGCTACCTCCCCCTCTCCCCCTTCAGGACCCTCCAAAGG